TTTTGATAAATGAATTCGAAAATAGAGTTTGGACTCTGGGATATGATTAACTGTCGGGTCGTAAATCATGTTCACCAGACAACTAGTCCATTTGTCTTGGAACACCGATGATTTTTCGCCGTCGAACAATTTGTTTGGCATATACTTCATTTTCCGTATAAGAACGGCTAAACGACCGTGGAAAAGTCATATTTTGTCGTTAGTATTGTGTAAGTAAGCCCGGCGACGTTAAACAATACATAATATAACATTAATTTGCTTATAGTTTTAATTAGGTATCTTTCTCGAGATCTCCTCCCCGGAAAAGTTCGCTTTGTACAAGCGGATTGCGGAAAAGCTTATTGTTCGTCGCTTTCGTGCGACCAACTTTTCCCAGTCTTTGGTTGAGCTCCTCCGACTTAATCCCACACACACACTTGCCGTTGAATCGAACAAATACTAATTGCTAATTAATCGCTTGCCCGGATAAATCCCAACGAAAATCCTATACATGTCTAAGTTCTATATAGGTATTTATATTATATAATCCGGCCCGCCGTCTCTTCGACTAATTGATTGTTTTTTTTTATCTCTTGTTCGTGTTTTTTTTATCGTTTTCCCCGGCAAATTGAATGCCCGGCCAGGTGTTGTCGCAATGCGGCCTATAAGACGGAGCTATGCCGGAGGCACTGGCGTTGACGATAATCCTCTTAGCTGTTTGCCACCCTCTGCCGGCGGTTTTTATGGGCGAAGAAGCCATAAAAACCACGGGTAATTGGCCGTTTGACCGCAGATGTTCAGTTGATAATAATAATATTGAACAACGTGCGCAATACCAGTTTATATCACATTTTAAGTGTCCGGAGTAGTCCTGAAAATCGCAACACTTGTTGGTTACACACATTTCCAGCTACTTAAAAGAGACACTGTGGAAATCTCTTCGGGTCTTCGTCGGAGTACCACTTAACTACTTTTGTGCGACTCTCGACGAGTACTGTGGTCTAAAAGCATAACACTACAATGCGCTACAAATCAGGCTCTTAATAATTTATGCCGTGGTCGTTTGAAGGAAACATCAAAGTTTAATATTATATTTTATCCTCGAAGATAGAAAACAAAAATAAAAAATATTAATAAATAAATGTTTTTTTTAACTAATGACAGTTTATGTGAGTTAAACGTCAGACTTGATAACTTCACGGATGTACTTTAGTTTTGTTAACCCGTAGTGTCTTTATGGTACACATACAGTATAAATGAAAACAAATTATATTATCCTGTCTTGTGATTTTTTTATATTTTATCTCCCCAATTGTTCATTTTTTACGAGGAAGCACATCGACAAAGGGTGTAAACCATCAATTTCTCGTCCCTTCGCCGGATGTTCTTTCTTTATTTGACATTATTTTGCAATATCCAATTACAAACAAGCGAATACTGTGCGGCAAAGATAATTTTAAAAAATCAATTTCTATATCCGACTCGGTGTATACGCATATATAGCGTCTTAAGTATTGATGTGCCAAACGTTCGAGACCCGACCCTTTCGGCGAAACGAGGACCTTTTCGGTTATAGAATTGCAATTCGATAGAAAGTATTTGTTTCCCATAATCCCAATGCGTAAGAAACGCCCTTAAATAATTCCAGCTTCGTCGTTTAAGTGTTATTCCCTTATACATTATGCCGCGGACTCGGCGCCCTTGTACGTGTATTATATTATGTCTGTACTTATAAATATATATATATAAATACACCGACAGACCGATTTGATTGCATCACGAACACGGGTAATCGCTCGCACCGTAAAACAAAGAAACGCTTTCAATCGGATTGAATCCAGTTTAATGCACGTTACAACAACCGAGTACTCGATGTCGTTGCCGACCACTCTTCTCGCACAATCGATTCAGTCGTTTCGGAATGACTCATTACAAGTGCCGCAGTATATGTCTATAAACGACAAGAGAAAAAAAAGAGTCTTCAAACGCTAAAGAAAGGTCTAACTTGGTCAGCAAAAAAATGTTACGTGCGGCATAGACACTTTTTCGCAAAATTAATATTGCCACAATATAATATAGTCCAACCACACCGTAATCGTGTGTTAAAGACGCAACGAAGAAACCTTACAATGTTCCTCGTTGGGGCTAAATGCTGATTTTTTTAATAGAAAATTAAGGTGTAAATTCACAACACAAAGCAAATCTTTAGAAGGTAAAAGAAGACTATAAAATTAGTTATATTTTATTACATAATAAGTTAAAACTAGAAAAAAATTAACAACGTTTACAACACAAACAAAAATAAGCTTCCATAGAGGTGTGTTAAGCTTTACAAATAAAAAAGAAAATTTAAATCCGTGTGGTGAACTAACTCAAAATTCAAAGTAGGTAGCTCCATTGGGTGCCCCCCTACTGCATGTTATTCAAGCTATATTATTAATTTTCATTTTTTACTGTTCACCCATTTACTGTTGTGCATATATTTTGTATAGATGTAAATATAATATAATAAAGACATTTTCTAAAAAAAAAAAAATCCGTTTGGTAGGCATTATGAAAGTGACTTTGAGTTTTAGTCTTTGGTCGGCTGACATTGTGGTATTGTTTCTTAATACAATGAGCATTACTGATCAAGTAAGTGTAAACACAACATATGTATACTTGATCATTTGAACCAACAATTTGTTTATGCGATTAACCTTAAAGTCAGACTTGTGCGTTAATCAAATAAAACTTTATCTAAATATTCATCTAGATAATACATTGTTCAAGTGAAAAGTATTCGAATAGTTTCCAATCTTTTATTCAAATAATAAGTGCGGTTTCCAAGTAATTCGTTTTACTATAATTGTGTATAAATATAATATACAAATATATAGGTATATTTTATATTACGTATAAAATAAAAACAAAAATCTATGAATGCATGCTTGTATGTTTTTAGTATTGAATTATGCTAGAATAGTATGACCATTTTGTTACTCTTTACTCGAATATTTTTCTCTTCGAATAAATTGAAAAAAAATGTGCACAAGAAGGCCGTTATTTAAAAAAATATGGTACTTGACACTTTGGTATTTCTCTAAATTGTTTATTTTCTACCCGATGAGTAGGCTCCGTCTATGAGAGCATGAACAAATTTAAAAAGCAAATATACTTTGATTGTACTTTTAGTTTTAGTTAAATGTGTCAGATTTAATTGATGTGAAACCACTAAAATCAATGTGTCATTTTTTGAGATATGTAAGTCCTTATTTTATTGATAGTGCGGCATACTAACGTTGATGAACTAAAAGCTTCAAGTAAAATCAAATTTTAAAAAAAATTGCATTTTAACCTACCGCCCAACTACCTGACCTTACTGTTAGGTTTTTTTCCCGTCGTGGAGAGCTACTGACAAATTATATGATGTTATTATGTTACTTTTGTACTTTTAATGTATTTTTGTATACATTTTCCTATGTTTATTGTGTACAGAGAAAGGCTTTTAAAAGTTTGCTGTCTAATGAAAAAACATCCATATGCGCACCTAGAAAGTATGTTAGGTAAGTACAGTAATTAAGTTTATTAATCATCCAAGTTGATTTAAATTACGGGCCAGACGACCGACTTCAAACAAACTGGGTTGGTACTACTATAGCAACGATCAACAATACAAGTTTACAGTTAATAGTTAATACGGAATACCTACAGGTACAATACTCAAGACCGATAAAGTGGGTTTGAGTATAATATTATAATATATGTGTAGTATAGTGAAATACACACGAGTGGGCGGCTTGTACGTTTTAATTGCGCGAGAAAGGCAAACGCGAGTATGTAAAAAAAAAATGAAAAAGGTGTGCGGTACAGCGCGTTTATACTTTATATATATCTGTAACATAAAGAAGGACTCAACACGGCTGTCTCGGGGAATCTGCGAGCATCCGCAGAGGGCGACACAGAAATTTATGCGACCAGTCCAACAGCCGACAATTATTTATTCATTCCACGTTATAATATTATAATGTCATCTATCGCCGTCGGTTGTCGATTTGTCCGTAATTTTTTTTCTCTATCTCCGACCTTGGATTCCGTCTTGGCGAAATCTCGGTTTCACCGCGTTGAAATGATAATTTACAATATTATTCAAACACTTCAGGTACTCCTTGGCGGCAATACAAATTCAAAAACAGCCGGAAGACCGGTGGCTGCCCTAAAGTGTGTACACACACACACACACGCGGTATTCAGTACCATACAGCAATCGTATTTCTTGTTGTTGTCGATTTACTCGACTACTTTTGCACCCTCTATTTTTAATGACAATAATAATTGCGGCACGTGATCCGTACGCGGCCGGTATATTGCTTATGCTATACTCTAATTTCCACCACAAGAAGAAAATATTGTCATCACTATAACATACACACACGTTCCCCGGGCGAATAAAGCCTTAGGTTCAATAAAGTCGCGGGGTCAATATAATATGATGTTATATATTGGTATTTCGGGGTAAAACAACCGCTGAAATCTGACACGTCGGTGATTAATAGTTAGGTCTCCCGGTCGACCGTTGTTTTTGGCCAAAAATGTGTTATACCCTCCTCACCCCTCATCCCCTGCCCCCCTCAAAAAATATGAGTTGTCTGCACACGCGGTCTGTATATTGTCCGCAATTGGTCAACGTCGACTTTGATACATTAACCGACGGGAAAACCGTTTCAATCATATATATATATATATATATATATGGGTATGTATTATATAACAATAAAAATTGACCGACTGCGAATGACGTCGCACAAACGTGGAACGCATATATTAATATTATTATGATCGTTATATGTATGTATGTATACATAACAGAGTTTGAATATTCATAAAATATCACCGTGATCGATACACTCGCCGAAGACATCAGTCATACTACCGGTGACACGAAATAGCTATATAAAGTCTACATCATATTATGGCGCAGCTTTATACCGGAAATGTAGTGATAACTCGGTCATGGTTTAACTTAAATGTTTTTTTTGCAGACGGTTAAATGGAAACCAGCTCAAGGAAGTACCCGATTTGGCGTTCTCCAACAACCCTCAGCTGTCCAGACTGTAAGTATAAAAAAATATTATTTTCTTTCTTGTATCTTAGGTGTACAACTTTATATATACTTAGATCACAAATCGTAGAAGGAAGCAAATTTAATTTTGTTACCCTTTAATATGTTTAAATCGATACGATACCTTGCGGGTCTAGAGATATTGTACTCGGGGGCTCGGTGTGGATAAAAATCAAAACAAAACGTTGTCTCGTTTGGTTTTACTCAACAAATGATCAACCGCAAAACGATAGGGGACTCGATGGTATATTGAGGTATATGCAGGGAATTTCTGTGCGACCGCTGATTACACTACCGCGGATCCCGGCTGGTTATTGATATTTCGTCCGTGAAATCGGATTATGCGTGTATACGGTATATGTGTATCTGTATATCCTCTGCACGCCGCCGGTCGGTCCTCGTTCGCTGATTAATTACCCGCGGGCAGGCATTCATCCTTCCGTCTTCCGGGCATCCGACGGGACTCATTAATTCCAGGACGTCCGAATCCCCCCACATGAGCCGAACGAAAATCCCATACAAAAAAAAAGGAGCAATCAGAAAACAAAATACACACAACCCTTTTTCTTCTTAAAAAAAAACCAAAAAGTATATTAAGAAATAATTACCGTTTGTACAACGAATGAAATCGAATTATGATTACAGGCAGTCCACCTGGTATGGCAAATTTGTATTTTGTTAACGTTAGGGTACAATTATTTGAAAATTTACTTATCTATGGCGATAAAGCAAATAAAATCTTTAATTCGTTCTCTGTATGTGTGACAACAACTACACTCTGTTCTTATCCTGAACAGAGTATAGTAAATGATTCAGATATTTTCATAACCTTCGTGTCCACACCATGACATTCCAATGGGTAGGTACACCTTGTGAAATTAATTCAAACAACATATACTAATGCAATATCCGGATATCATCATCTGGTTGAATCTAAACAATACATAATATTGTTATTCATTGAATGTATCATCGTAGGTTTGTTATTTGTACAATATAACGCGTATATTGCATGTTAGCATTGATTTTAAAATCAACGGTATTGGGAAAAGACATTGTAGCTAGCTTCGTGGCAACACAATACTATATAATATTAAATTATAATTTATAATACTTCAGAATTCAATAATAGATGTATAGGTACGCTTCTGACTGTGCCTAACCGTCTCTTCAAGTCATATTTTCCGAACGCGCACGTTCTAACTAATAATCGTTTATGCTTTCTGTGATGTCATGGTCGTTTCATTGTTGGTTACTCGTATCGGTCATTATATACTTAATATAGGTAGATTGGCCTTTCTATTTACTTACTTACATCTGTCTTCGATACGACAAGAGGAAATATCTACCGATTTTTATCGTGTGACAGTTATTGGACGATCATGCGTATTATTTATTTACGGTAATGAGAATGTCTTTGACCCTGAGCACGACAAACGCGTATACTATAATAATAATAACTATTCATATGAAAACGTAGGCGGCTTGGGTGTTCTCAGTAAGCTAAACAGCTATAAACCAAGACGAACCGTGCCGTCGACGGTTTGATGGAAAATAATGTTTTTTATCCGAAGGATTTGTGACAAATATGTTTTTCCCGGAAAACTATACCAAACCTCGTTCTAATCGAAATCCGTTCTCGCGTAAAACACAACAAATATTTACCGAAGCCTATACTATATGTATACTTGTCGACACATCGACGTAGACATGGTACGTAGGTATATGCCAAAGTCAAAGAATGTAAATATAGAAATGAAAACTTAACCGAACGGTCAAACCTTTGGCCGTTGTCTATAGGGAAAAGTCCGGGAAAACTTGGACGTGTGCTTCGACATGTGTTCGATAGGCTTGTCACGTCAAAAGCGCGGCAAGAGTTCCAAAAAAAAAAAAAAAAAATAGGTAAAAAGTAAAAGTGAAAGTTAACCCTCGAAGGTGTTTAAAAGAAGCAAAAAAAAACCGTTCGCTCTCTTTTGGCTGGCTAAACGGACGAGCCTTTCATCCTTTGTCCCCCCTCTCCTCGGTGTACCCTCCCTTTCCCCTTCTCGGCCTACACCAACAGCGTACAAAAGCAGACGTGTTGACACTAACTTATTCGCCCCTCGAACGCGCGCGCCGGTACTCTACTTTAAAGTAGAACTTTCGCCGCCCCGGGCAACTCTCTTCCCGCGTATAGAAGGAATAAACCCAATTTGCCGCCGAATCTCACAAATCGGCCGTATTTATGTATACTATTTTATAGTCGCCGACTCGGCTCGTGTAAACTAATTATATACGTTCACATTATGATAATGCACCGACCGGGAACGGAATGGGGGGAAAAAAAAAGCGAGAGTAAGAGAGAGAAAACCCTGCTGCCGTCGCCCGTGTTACCGTTTTGAATCGAATTTTATTCCCGGCGACAGAGTCCTGTGGGAGTTCGGTACGGCGGCAACACGCCGGGACGAGACGCGTTAATAAAAGAAGAAGGTGGTATTGCCCGTGTGCTCGAGCACACAATTAAGCGGATATTAACAATAACGATAGTATTCATATAGTAATAATAATAACAATAATTGTCGGCACTCCATAGCGGAGGTAGTTAGGTGGTAGGTGTAGTAGTATAGGGAACTTTGGACATCCGTCTAATCGGTTAGACTTACTAAACAATGTCCCGGACCATCGCCATATTGTGTAAATAGTACCTATAGTCTGTATGACATTAGCAATTGCCAGCCCTTTGTCCGCTATCGAGATAATATAATAATTATTGTTCAAGTTTTTTTTTTAGTTTACAATTATGATTATTCTTTTGTCTCGCCCCCGGAATTTAATTCATTCGTGTGCTTTAACCGTGTGTGTCCTCAGTGTGCATTTTATATTATTTATTACAATTGTAGCATAATATCTTCCGCAACGGGAAAACGTTTGAAATAAAAAAACAAAAACGGGTTTAACTCTTTTTACTTAACATAATACAATTTTAACACGTACTATTATAATCTTCAGTATTTTTCTTTGCCTTATTTCCGTACGAGTGAGCTCGGCCATCCTAATCCTCACATCACGATCCTTTATTATTCTACTATTCACACATTCCTATGGCTTTGTTTATAACGTCCACACTCTCTCTTCTTTTTCGGTTGGGTTACCACTGCCCAGGGGTGGGCAAATCACTAAAAAAAAAAATGATGCTACAGTTGTATTATAAGTAATTACAAATATTGCAAGTTTGTAAAAAATTGATAACCAATAATGTCCCTAAACCTATTATAACGTTGTTACATTTTTATAAGGTAACGACGACACTACAAGTGTATTATTACATATACAAAATACTGATAATCGTTTATATTATACTCTTATTGTTGGTATTTTAAACAAACGACATAATTTAATTTTAACAGTTACTAATATGTTATGCTACACCCTTAATAATTGGTTTGGTAAATTTTCATTTTTTTTTTTACATTTTTTATATTAATCCAAACAGAAATAACTGCGTTGAGACACAACAAAGTTTTTTGAAAATATTTAAATAGGCAGTTAAAGTATTTTTAAAAATGTAACTATATTACTTAAATATTTTGTATTACCTTTACTAGGTATATCGTAGTTACATCGTACATAGTTATTAAAGTGTTTTTCTCGTAAAAATATTAGAAAACAGAAACGTTTTTTTTTTTTTTTACTACTGATCGAATGTGTGTTGTACATGTGTGTGTGTAAAATAAGAAAGTGTTAGACCAAACGCGGGCATTTAAATAATATGTTTTTAATCCTCGGTTATTGCGCTAAGCCACGGACCGTCCTGTTTTTTTTTTTTGTTGCTGGCGACCTCCGACGACATAATATTATCATCTCCAACAACGTCGTGTCAATTTTCTCACATACATATAATATTATATAGATCCTCTTCCTCGGGTCGGTTCGTAAAGTTAATACGTTTTAAATTGACGACAAAACATGCGTGGACGCTAATTTGTCGCCGGCATGTTCAATAACAATATAATCGAGTGGTGGTTTTCATCGTCGGCCAACTCAAGTGGAATGTAATGACATTACAGGGTGATTCATTATGGACGACACGCTCATTTTATCCTAATATAATCACTGTTTTGTAGTTTTCTCTTTGAAGACATTTTATTTTATGTGTGTCTTGTCCTTTGATGAACCACCCTGTATATATGAATAGGTATGATATTATATGGGCGGCAGACCGGTACGGACTGCAGCGACCGGACAGAATGCGCAAAATATTCAATCGAGAAATAAGAAATGGAAAACTGAGAGAAAATGCGCTAAGGTCGTGCCCGTGTGCGTCTGGACTCGGTAAAAGACTTGGGTAGAGAATAGCTGTGAATGCAAAATGCGTACGCGGTACAGAGCAATCAAAACGAAATTTTCGTCTGCGATAAGGACAAGCGGGAAAAAAATAAAAATATAAGGTTTTTATTTTTACGTGACCGGATTAAAACCCATTTGCCTGGACAATGGCCTGTCATTCTTATCACGTAACGCCTTTTGTAAATGGCGTCTTAACTCTTAAATGGACCCGCAGACGGATTAATTTCCTACAAAAACCGCATTGTCTCGGCAAGTTAATTTGGTCGGCCCAAAAGAGACATATAACAATACTTAGTCACAATATTGTGCGGACTGTGTAATCGACAAAGGTACAGCCTCATCACACTAACACATAATATACCTATTGGGCACACGGTTTAAGATGATTGGGTAATGTTTCGGTTGTCTTCATTTGTGAATCCGTTGAACTCAATTCGAACAAACGGATTGACAAAAACAGTATCACAGAACAGAAATTTAACTAATACATGATAAACGCTAAGATGCCTCTATTGTTAAGATTGCGATGAAAAAGCTATTATTCGGATGATGGTTTTATGTATAAGACAGGAGCCGGGCAGACGTCATGTCCATTGCGGAAGTTGTTAATTAGCAGATAACCGACCCGTAGATTTGCGATGATAAAGGGTTCGTTTTTAATAACCC